GCCGCGCTCCGTCCGCCACGGCACCTGCCACAACGCCTGGACGGGGCGGGGCGGCGGCGGAGGCTGCAGCAGCTGCGCCAGTAAGCAGCCGACACGCGCCTTTTTCGCGGCTCCGCTCGCAAGCCGGCCTCGCACAGCAAGCGCCCGGCCGCCCACCGCCCTTTACTTCCGCTTCCTACTCGCCAGCCTCGGAGGACTTCCGGCTACCGAGTCGTGGTCTGGCCGCCCAGAGCGCCGCGCGCGCCGCCATCTTACATCTGAGGAGGCCCGCCTCTCTCCTTGCTTCCTGCCGTCAGAGTGGTCGAGGAGGTCGTCGTTGTCCAGGTTCCGGGGAGACTTATCGGCCTGACCGCTGAGACCCAAAAGCTTTACCACGTGCTGAAGCCAGTTAGGGGTTTCGCACTTTTTTCTGATTTGAACTCTGGGGAGCTTCAGAGTCTACTTCCTTAAACCCTTATATTAAAAGCACTGTTGCGCAATGAAGGACAAAGTGACTTAATGTTTCTGAGCATCTTTGTTTTAAACCCTGAACTTCAATAGCTTTCCCCTTTCCAGGGAGCAGAGGAAAGGATTTTTTTTTAATTTTACGATTTTTATGATTTATATTTTATACTTAATCTGCGATGATTACTTTGTCTTTCTGAACTTTTTTGGGGGGTGGGGATAAAAATCAACTATGTAAACTTTGTTTTAGAATATGTGACACTGGTCAGATCATTTAGCCACCCAGGAAATGTCTTTACAGTGTGTATTTTTAACTGTTAAGGTGAACTAAAAACCAGAAATACGTTCAGAAGTACATAAAAAGTGTAAAATTTTAAGTGACTTTTGATAATATGACAGTCATTCCCTTGAGAATACCAGAATGAGGACTAAAACCGTTTATCTTAATCTGATGTCTGTACTGTGCTTAAGACCTGGAACTGACTGTTGGGTTTTCTGTTCCTTGCTGGAATAAAAGGAGTTCAAATCATTGTAAGGAATGGAAAGGACCTTATTAAAATGTATTTCTCGAGGGAGATTTTGTATTAATAGCTTTCCACTGCATGTTTTCTACATCTTTTAAAATCACTTCAGGTGATGCTTCCATAAGAAAGGAATTTTTTAACCTTTTTTGGGGGGGGTGTAATTAGGTTTATTTATTTATTTTTAGAGGAGGTAGTGGGGGTTGAAGCCAGGACCTTGTGCATGCTAAGCTATACCTTTCTCTCCCCCAAGGAATTTTTTTAACTGTTTTTTATTGAGTTACAGTCATTTTACAATGTTGTGTCAAATTCCAGTCTAGAGCACAATTTTTCAGTTATACATGAACATATATGTATTCATTGTCACATTTTTTTCGCTGTTAGTTACCATAAGATCTTGTATATATTTCCCTGTGCTTTACAGTATAATCTTATCTATTCTACCCAGTCTGTCCCTTCGCAACCCCCACCTGCTTGGCAACCACAAGTTTGTATTCTATGTCTATGAGTCTGTTTCTGTTTTGTATTGATGCTTTGTTTTTTTCAGATTCCCCATATGAGCGATCTCGTATGGTATTTTCCTTTCTCTTTCTGGCTTACTTCACTTAGAATGGCATTCTCCAGGAGCATCCATGTTGCTGGAAATGGCATTATGTTGTTGGTTTTTATGGCTGAGTAGTATTGCATCATATAAATATACCACATCTTCTTTATCCAGTCATCTGTTGATGGACATTTAGGCTGTTTCCATGTCTTGGCTATTGTAAATAGTGCTGCTATGAATACTAGGGTGCAGGTGTCATTTTGAAGTAGAGTTCCTTCTGGATATATGCCCAGGAGCGGGATTCCTGGGTCATATGGTAAGTGTAAGGAATTGTTTTTTAATTCACCACAGGACAGAGTTTACTCTTTCTGTTTTAACTTGGTTTCCTACTATTGATGCATTAACAGCACCAATGTTTACTTAGTTATAGTAAACTGTCAACTGAAGTAAAATCACACAATGTGAAATTTGTGGGTTAAGTTTCATTTGGGGCAAAATGAGGACTATAGCCTGGGAGACAGCATCCCAGAAAGCTCTGAGAGACTGTTTCAAAGAAGCAGGGGGAACTCAATATTATATATGATTTCAGTGAAGGGGGGACATGCAGTCAAGCACATGTTTAGACAGGCTGCTGCTAGTCATGAGGAGCAGATGTCACCATTAATGATTTTAGTGCTTTTCTAGATATGAGGAGATACAAGAATTAGGCTCATAAAATCTTCTGAAAATAGCTAACTATTTGAAGGCCTGTTCAGCCGTTTTCCCAGAGCACCTCATTCCTGACCTCCACCCTGAACTCCTTTCAAGGCATGTTGGAGGTCAGCAGCTGCAGCAGCTCTAATTTAATACAAGCAGAGTTAGATGGCAAGTGCCAATGTGACACAATCCTTGTAGAGGCAGATGGCAAGTGCCAATTTTTAGTTAGCAATACAGTAAGTGATCATGCATCTCTTCTAAGAAAGTTGGGTTTCTCTTTTGCTGAACCTCTCTCAGAAAATTCAATGCTGTGTTATTTGAACCAAAACAGATTCGTCCTTACTGTTTTAACTTTTTCTTGAAATAATTACAAAGTCATAAGGAACTGCAAAAATAGTACAGTGAGGTCACATGTAGCATTTACCTGGTTCTCCTGATGCTCACAAATAGCTATACTACTGTATCAAAGTCAGAAAATTGGCATTGGTACAATGTGTTTGTATGGTTTTGTCATTTCATCACTTGTGTAGATTTATGTAACCAAAATCAAGATATATTCCAGCACCAAAAAGATTTCCAGTGCATAAGGCGGGGAGGAGAGACAAATAGGTGGAGCATGCAGGATTCTCAGGGCAGGGAACCCATTCTGTATGATATTCTCATGGTGGATTCATGTAGTTATACGTTTGTCAAACCCGAAGACTTCACACCAGGAGTGAACATCAGTTGTAACAAATGTATCACTGTGGGTGCTAGTAGTGGATAAGGCTGTGCCTGTGTGGGGTTGGGGTATACTAGATGTCTGTCCTTTCTGCTGAGAATCTAGAACTGCTCTAAAAAGTAAAATATTAAAAAAGAAAACCATTAATGTTAAAGATGGAAGGAGTATAAGAAATAACCTAATACTCTATTCTCATTGGAAAATGAGTAAACATGAGACTCAAACTTCTAAAAACAATTAATAGACTTTATTTTTAGTAGTTTTTATTTTACAGAATAATTGAGCAGATAGTACATACATTCTGTACATCCATTCCACCCCAATACCTAATACTCAGTATGGAGTTCCCCCTATTATTAGCATCTTCCATCAGGGTAGTACATTACTGTTACATCCTTATAATGGAATATGTGGAATAACTTTCTTTTTAAAAAAACATTTATTTATTTATTATTGTATTATTTAATTTTGGCAGGGAGGAAGTAGGTAGGTTTATTTATTTTTGGAGGAGGTACTAGGGATTGAACCCAGGACTTGGTGCATACTAAACATGTTCTCTACCATTTGAGCTGTACCTTCTTCCCCAGAATAGTTTTCAAATGGAATAATCCCCAAACCACACGTCTGACAAAGGACTTGTATCTAAAATATATAAAGAACTCTCTAAACTCAATATTGTAGAAATAATACTGATACATTAGTATTAACTGAAGTCCATAGTTTACATCACAATTCACTCTTGACGTTTTACAGTTTTATGAGCTGCACAAATGCATAAAAATGTGTATCCATTATTACAATTTCATGCAGCATAGTTTCACCACTTTCCCTGTTCTTCACCTATTCACCTCTCCCCCAAGCCTGACAACCACTGATCTTATGACCATCTGCTGTACACTGAAGATTTGCGTTCTGCCCCTAAATTCATGTGTTGAAACCTAATCTCCAGTGTGATAGTATTTGAAGGTGGGACCTTTGGGAGGTGCTAGGTCATGAGGGTGGAGCCCTCATAAATAAGATTAGTGCCCTTATAAAAAGAAAAAGACCCAGGAATCTCCCTTGCCTTTCTGCCATCTGTGGACACAAAGACAAGTTCTTGTGTGTTGTCCACTTTTTCCATTAACGCCTTTAGCAGATTAAGCAAAGTTACTTTAACATTCTAGTCTGATAATTCCAAAATCTCTGCCATATCTGAGTCTGATTCTGATGCTTTATATCCTCAGATTGTAAGACTTTCAGTTTGCCTGTTAATTTTTCCTTAAACCTAGACATGATGTACTGTGTGGTGAAAGGAACTGAGGTAAATAGGCCTTGGTGTGAAGTTTTGTTTTTTTGGCTAGGAGTTAGGCTCCTGTTTGCTGTAGTTGTATGTGTCAGAGACCTAAGTTTCCTCTGCTGTCCTTGTTTTGGTCTCCTCTGTTGTATGTGCATTTCCCTAGAATCTGCTTCTTAAGTAGAGTCTTGGAGTTACAGTTCTTTCAGCTCAAACCCACATATTATACAAGAGCCCTGAAACTTTGGCATTTGGAATTGGGGGAGGGCTTCCAGATCTTGATTTTCCTTGAGCACTTCTATACCCCAGGGGCCTTTGTTTAACAAGATGTCTATGTCAAAATAATTTCTTTCTGTTCTTTTAATAGAGGTTCAATTTAATATGGGTTCATCCTCTCATGCCTGGGCTGATTTCAGTTATATTGTTTTTTTTTAAGCATTCGTTATTTTAAATTTTTTATTTTATTTATGTATTTTAACAGAAGTACTGGAAATTGAAACCAGGAACTCATACATGCTAAGCACATACTCTACCACTGAGCTGTACCCTCCCTGCCTCAACTATTCTTAAAGAAACTTGAATAATTACCTCTTGGTGAATATAGTTCAGATCTTCATTCTGCTAAAATAAGGTAAAATATACTTTTTTTAGACTACTTTTTAAGATTGCTTCAGGAGGTTGTGGGGAGGTTTGAAGAGGATCCAAAGATCCTTGCCTCCTAATATCCACACCCTTTCGTGGTCCTGTGATACTGTGATTTATGAGAAATATATGTGTTTGGTCATTCAAATGACAAAAATATACCTCTTATATGTATTTGGTTTTTATCCACAATTCCTGGCTCATAGTTCCAAAATGCTTAGAATTTCCTAAGTGATGAGCACTTAAAGGTGTCTTTTATATTAATGAGATAACTTTTGAAAAGCACAGAAGATTGGGGGCTGGTTGCCAGGGGAACCAACCATGTGATTAGAGGGTTGGAACTTTCAGCACCCTCCCTCCCCCTCCTCCCAGGAGGGGAGAGGGGCTGGAGGTTGAATCAATCACCAATAGCAGTGATTTAATTAATCATGCCTATGTATTGAAGCCTCAAAAAAAAAAAACTCAAAAGGGAGGAGCTGGGAGAGCTCCCAGGCTGGTGAACACATGGAGGTTTTGGGGAAATGATGCTCTCTGAGAGGGTGAGGAAGTTCTGTGCCTTTTCCCACACACCTTGCCCTATGTACCTCTTCTATCTGCCTCTGCCTAAGTTATGTCCTTTAATAATAAACTGGTGATCCAGTGAATACAATGTTTCTCTGAGTTCTGTGAGCTGCTCTAGCAGATTTATCAAAGCCAAAAATAAAGTCATGGGAACCTCTGATTTATAGCCAGTAGTCTCACAACTGGCATCTGAAGTCCAAGGAGAGGGTTGTGGGAACCTCTAATCTGTAACCCATCAGTCAGAAGCACAGGCAACAACCTGGGTTTGTGACAGGTGTTTGAAGAGGGGGTGAGGAGTCAGTCCTGTAGGACTGAACCCTTAAGCTGTGGGATCTGACTCTGTCTCTAGGTAGACAGTGTCAGAATTGAGTTGAACTGTAGAATACTCCACTACTGTCCAAGAATCGCTTGGTGTTGTGTGGGAATCTTCCCCTGCATTGGAATTGGGATCTGGACACTTTTAGTTCCCCTCCACACTGAACATGGATGACTTGGTAACCAATAGAAAATTGTGGAAATTATGGAGTCTGTGTTTTGAGATTAAGTCATAAAAGACATTGCTACTTTCTTCTTTCTCTCTCTTGCGTCACTTGCTCTGGGATAAGCCAAAGGCCATTTTGGTGTTGAGAGTCCAGCAGCCCCAAGGAGAGGTCTGTGTGAGTAGATGGGCAGGCATCAAACTCATGGCCATGTGTGTGTTTCCGTGGCGTTGAATGCTTCTGTTGGATACTGTTTGATGGCTGCAGTCTCTGCCTGTATCTTTTTTTTCGATGTTTTTACTAAAGTGTAGTTGGTTTACAATGTTAGTTTCAGCTGTACAGCAAAGTGATTCAGTTGTACATATACATACATATACATATTTTCTTTTCAAATTCTTTTCCATTGTATGTTATTACAAGAAATTGAATATAGTTCCCTATGCTATACAGCAGGTCTTTGTTGTTTATCTATTTTGTATATAGTAATGTGTGTCTGTTAATCCCCAACCCCTAATTTGTGCCTCCTGGCCCTTTCCCCTTTGGTAACCATAGTTTGTTTTCTATGTAAATGAGTCTGTTTTTGATTCGTAAATAGAATTTGTATCAAATTTTATAGACATGATGTATGATTTCTTAAAATTTTTTGTAAGTGATGTATGATTTTTTAAAGTGTTTTACTGAAGTGTAGTTGATTTACAATGTAAGTTTCAGATGTACAGCAAAGTGATTCAGTTATACATATACATCAGTATACTTTTTTTTTAGATTTCACATATAAGTGATATCATATGGCATTTTTCTGACTTACTTCACTCAGTATGATCATCTCTAGGTCCACCCACGTTGCTACAAATGTCTCTGCCCATATCTTAATTGCTCTGATGAGAAGTGGCAAGCCAAAACCAGTTAAGCTCTCTGATCCCCTAAGTAGTTCCCCTGACTCACAGGAACTATGTGAGATAATGATCCTTGTTTTTTAATGCCACCATTTCAGTGTAATCTGTTACACATCCCAAGGCCACAAAGCAGCATGGCCCTGTGCCAGCGCACACAGAAGGGCCTGGGGCACATCAGCCCAGGCAGAACTGGAGGTGGATGGGAAAGGACTCCCCATGCTGGGAGTAGAGGCAGCAGCTGGAAATTGTATCCTCATCACTCTGACCAGAAATAGAGGTTTGATGGGGAGCAGTCCATGCTTGTTTTATGTAATTTCTGAGGAATCCCTTTTCCACATGGTCTATAGCTCAAAGATGCTTTGGAAAGAAACCCTCTATTCACTGGGAATTCTTTTTTTTTTTCTTACTATTGTGTCTTTGTAAACAGTCTTGTAGAAAAAAATGTCTAACATCCCAGAACCCCAGACTGTTTGAACATGAGATGAGGCCCTTCCATAGCAGCTGTATTTTAATGGTACTATCTAGAACGATCTAGAACCCTGTTTAGACTGCAACAGACAGTAAGTAACATGTTTCATTGTGACCTAATGCTCTAAATGTATGTAGAAAACTGAAAAATGTTTTGTGAAGCAATACTTCAAACTTGCATATTTGATCATGTAAAAACATTGCAAAGCTGATTTTTAAATATTATTCTATTCATATATATATATAACCCAGGAAAAACATAAACAGTACAAAAACAAAAAATTAGAAATGGCTTTGTTTAATGACAGTTCATGAATGTATTTCAGCCCCAAACACACAAGGACAAAGCTACTATGCACATATCTGGTTGAGACTTATCTGAACATTCATAATTAAAACTCAGTGGAAACCATAATTAAAACAAAAAGACAACCTATGGAATGGGAGAAAATGTTTGCAAATGAAACCAACAAAGGCTTGATCCCCAGAATATATAAGCAGCTCATACGACTTAATAAGAAACAACCAAACAACCCAATCCAAAAATGGGCAAAAGACCTAAACAAGCAATTCTCCAAGGAAGATATACAAATGATCAATAAGCACATGAAAAAATGCTCAATATCACTAATTATCAGAGAAATGCATATCAAAACTACAATGAGGTATCACCTCACACCAGTCAGAATGGCCATCATTCAAAAATCCACAAATGACAAATGCTGGAGAGGCTGTGGAGAAAGGGGAACCCTCCTACACTGCTGGTGGGAATGCAGTTTGGTGCAGCCACTATGGAAAACAGTATGGAGATTCCTCAAAAGACTAGGAATAGACTTACTGTATGACCCAGGAATCCCACTCCTGGGCTTATAGCCAGAAGGAACCCTACTTCAGGATGACACCTGCACCCCAATGTTCATAGCAGCACTATTTACAATAGCCAAGACATGGAAACAGCTTAAATGTCTATCAACAGGTGACTGGATAAAGAAGTGGTATATTTATCCAATGGAATACTACTCAGCCATAAAAACTGACAACATAATGCTATTTGCAGCAACATGGATGCTCCTGGAGAATGTCATTCTAAGTGAAGTAAGCCAGAAAGAGAAAGAAAAATACCATATGAGATTGTTCATATGTGGAATCTAAAAGACAAAAACAAAAACAGAAAAAACAAAGCATAAATACAAACCAGAA